TCCTCCCATCCTTCTTCATCCCTATGAAATGACATCCATCTCCTTTACAAACCTGCTTCAGTTTCCTACTGACCTACTATTTCCAGGCCAGTTTATGCTGTTTGCTTTTGTTAATGATGCCATGCGTTGCTGACTCCATAGTTTCCTGTTCCTGTTCCTGCCGCCTTCTGTTCTGTCCTCTGTGCAGAGTGATCTGCCAGTCCCTTTGTGCTGGACCCAGCCTTTTCCTCAATCAAATTCCTCAGAAAATCCTATTCCATGAAACCCTAAACATTAGTCTGGATCAGTCAAATGTCTTCTATGAGAATGGGAAATCTACTCAGCACGTTCCTCTGTGTGTCCCAGTGTACTGTGTATAATCTGTGTCTACTATTCAAAGTCTCACCTCCTTGGGATAGGAAGCCTTTATATATATCAGCACAATGCTGGCAGTGTAACAATTAATGCAAATGGTAGTCTGGCATGACTATGAACTCCCAGTGTGGCCATGTTTCTCTTGGCAAAGTCACTGAACAGTTTGTACTCAGTATGAGTGGATGTAAGTTATGATAATGATCTACTGTTGTATGACATAACAGTTCTCTAAATAATATTTTAGAGCTCTACTTTAATTATTTCTCATGCTGTGGACAGTATTTCTCTTAGTACAGAGAATGCACTTGATTCTCCTCTCACAGTGGTATAAATCAGAAGTAACCCCATGAAACTTAATGCAGTTATACTTCTTTAACAAGTGATTGCACATTGTGGGCTTATACCCCACTGCTACCATTCTGAAAGCAAAGGTTGCTTCTCACTGTTTTGGATCCAGCAAAATGAAGCAAAGCAACTCACTTCTTTGGGTTCTGCAAAAGCCGGGCAAAAACAAATCTATGTGGGTTGGTCTGTTTACAGATATCTTTATTTAAAGAAACAGCGACAAGCATATTTATTTTGTTACTTTTATGCTGTCCTCCATAATATAATCTCCTTCTCCTGCTCATCCTATGGGCAGATTTTGCCATTCAAATATAAGAAGATATTTTTGGAAGCTCACACAAGAGTAAGATTATAAATCATAGGCTTTGCTATCAGAATAGAACCACATAATTCTCTTGTGTGTGTTCATGAACACTTTCCTATACCAAAATAACATTTTCATGTACAATCCATTTCCACAGACCTATCAAGGGAGGAATCCTGGCTTTAGCTGTTCTTTCACATACACACACAGTTCATAAGCTTGTGACTAGAATATGCTACATAGAAAGAATACGGTCCTACCTCCTCCCAGGTAGACCACCCTCAGTTTGATTATTTCCCCCAACCTGCTGCATCTTGGACCGCTCAATGTGTTCCACATAGGTCTGGATCATCTGCAAAGAGGGAAAAACCCATGAACCAAACAGGATGGAGGGTAAGTCATCAATTCCTCTTCAGCCCAATCTTCCCATATCCATTCCTCCCTTTTGCATAAATTTGTTACTGCTGTTGGTTAAGGCTGATGATACAAGCGAATAGATTGTAAGTCTGGGTCTACTAGAAAAGCACAGGGAGTCAGAAAGTTACCAAGCCTCAAACCCAAGATGACAACAGATGATCTACGGCAGAACCAATGAAAAAGTTTCTTAGACACCAGACAGTAGCAGTGGCAGTTGGAAGTCTGGAGAAGTGGGACAGAGCATTTCATCGTGAGCTTAGCACCTCCAGTCTCCTCTTGCCTTTTTATCACTGAGCTGATTTTCTTTAACACATATTTGCAGACCTATGTGTAGACAGACAATTATATTTACTTAGCTATGATTAGATGATAACATACCTCTGTGTGGCGCTGATGGAGGGCATTGTACTCTTTCTTCATTTCTGATTCACGTTCCTCCAGCCGTGAAACTATAAAAGACAGTATTCCAACCATGAGACAGCCTGTGTGTTAGATTCCAAAAGGAACAGTAGGCTGTTCTCAGTGAAGTATCGTATGCTGCAGAAAAGTTTTATTAAAAATCCAGTCATTCCTTCAAAAAAAAATCAGAATAGTTCATGCTGCAGCAGGTAGTCCTAACTAAATGTTCATCTCATAGATACCCAAGAGCCCTTTTAGGAAGGCTCACAAAGTAATGCAGTATTAATTGTAGAGATGGATCCATTGGGGTGCAGCTCAGTGACTTACCACTAAACAAAAATACCAACTCTCAGACAATTAGGTAGGCATTAAACTTTAACCTGACAGACCAATGATTCTCAGCTAGGGTACCTTGGATTCTATGAGATCCTTTTAAGTGTGCAATGGGGTGCTGTGAAATGTTGGCACTGTTAGGCATGCAAACACCTATACATGATTCACAATAAACCCAGAAATTTCAAATAGGAATCCATAATGTTAAAAAATTCTGAGCTGTTTTAGTCTTTCTGAGTTCTTTACAATACAAGAATTGTTCTATTATTTTTCCATACTCAAAAAAACAAGTGAAAGCTAAGAAGTGGCATTTTCTGAGGGGTGCCTTGAGTCTAAAAAGGTTGAGAACAACTGTTCTAGAAAATGCAAACACTCTTGAGGCTGTGTTCTCAACCCTCACTGGCTAGGATTACACAACTTTATGATGATTCTTTTGACTGAGAAGCTGTCATGTTGGACACTAAAAAACTAAATTCTGAAGGATGCCTCATCCAGCCCTCTGTAACCATGCACACGTTAAAGAAAGAAGAGTAAAATTAAAAATGAGGTCAGACAGTTGGTGCATCAGAAGTGTCTTAAAGAACCTAGTGTGGGACAAGAGGGAAATAAGTGAGTATGCTGTCTGTTCAACTGCTATATGAGAGCATTCCAGGTTACGTTGAACTGATCAGTTAATAACCACATATGTACTTTGGGGCTGACAAAGTGCTGTTACTGGGAAAAAAACTGTTTTTTTTTCTTGCCAGAAGGTATTTACAGTGGGAAATGTCTCAGAACTCTGACTCAGAAGTGGTGAACTGTAAGATTGATATTTGTCATTCAAACCTCCTTCCTTCTTTCCATCAGCCTACAGTTACCAAATAGGAACAGTCACAGTTGAAAAAAAATGGCCATATTCCTGCCTCCAACACATATTCAATATGCTAAATTTCATGGTCCCTTAAACTCAGTTTCCAATGACATCTTCTCAGATCATATCATCAGAAGTCCCTTCTACCATAATCACATCGCAGCAATGAAGGGTTTTAATAGAGGCTGTTCTGTTTATTGAATAAAAGAAATTCACTGAATATCCATGTATAGGACAAGTAATAAAAGTGATGGTCAGCTTATAGTTCAAATATCCCCCATACAATTCTTTGCATTTTATCAGGGTTTTGCCAGACAGTTTGGCATCATCTGAAAGATATGAGGAACTTGTATAAATTGCAAAAGTGGAAGCATGAAATCCCTGATGTAACTTCAGGGCACAAACAGAAGTGACAGTTTGCTGCACAACTGGGCCCCTGAAGCGCTCTACAGGCCTGCTCTTACAGAAGCATACAGCTGCAGAGTGCTTTAAACGTGTCTGACTGTATGACAATCAGAACCCCCATTACATGAGGATTCAGATGAAGGCACTCCAAAGCAGAGCAACTTCATTAACTTGTGTCAGTGCATGCCAGGAGCTGGGCTGGACTGATATAGCCCAGTCCCACCCCCAGTGCTGTCTTCAGAATGGGAGGGGGAGAAGGGAGGGGAGGGAGTTCCATCTGGGGCTTGCACTGCAGAATGGGGCAGCTGGATGGAGGGGGTGCTTCAATCCACCTGCCCCACCCTCCAGTGCAGGCTGGACAAATCCCAAACCAAGCTCCCTCTTCTCCCTTCCCACTCTCCTATTCTGAAGACAGCACCAGAGCTGTGAGGGGGAGGGAAGGGGGTCAGGGCTAGAGGAGAGCAGCTGCAGACATGCAGCTGCTCCAAACTGGAGCTCTATCCTCCAGACCCAACAGCAAACATTGGTTAGGCCCACAGGATCACTGTAACTCATGGTACTTCCGGCAAAGCACCGTGAGTTACAGCGCGGCCCCCACATTTGTCAGCGCCCTCAGTGACTTCAGGTGAATTCTATATAGTAGGATCACTTTAGACCAAAATTTATGTAGTTCTGAAGAAATTCAACAGAATAACACAGGCACTCCCAAATTCCAAATGCACCTCACTGGTCTACTACTTTTCAGCTGATAGCACTGGGTTTAGTACCCAGATTTTTTTTAAATATAAAGTGCTTCCTTCAGTACAAAATGATGGGAAGTTCAATGGCTGATGAAGAGAAAGTGAGATAACAGACACACAAAACAAAACACAAAATTTTGAAGATCCATAAAGTCTCAGATACAGCTGTTGGTCATAGATGTTTATCCTGCTAAATCCAGTGGGAACAGTCACTATCAACTTAAAAGTTAGATGTGTTCTGTGCACTGTGTTACTTACTCTGGTCTGCATAGTTTTTGGTCTTCAGCTCCAGCTGTCGGGTCTGAAACTCAAGGTGTTCAACTTGGATCTGCAGCTCCTTCTTCTCCTGCTCCAGGGCATCTTCAAATTCTATAAACTTCTGCACAGGTGAAAAACCCAGAGAAAGAGACAGGGATGAGGAATGCAGTGCATTGTCCCCATAAGACTTTTTGTCTCCCTTCCCAAGACTTTAAGAAAATAAAAAAAACAGAGGAAATATGTGTCACAAGAGCAAAATACAAGACTTTCAAACCCAGTACTGAAGATCAACATGAAAGGTACAACTGAGCATAACAGCCCATCAGACCCTTGGCTAACCCATGCCACTTCCTGTAGCCACCAGCACACAAAGAAGTGACACGGCTAGCATTATGTCCTCCCACTTTGGATTCTATAAGCATCCAGGGCATCCATTCACAGCAGGTTCCATGGGGGAAAGCCTTTATCATGAGTTCTAGCAGAGCTTGAATGCATGCCTCCAGAATCACAGCAAGCTACCCTGACCACATTGGCATCATGTCCCGGCACTGAATATAGTATAAAAGTGTTTTGGCCAGGTAAAGCAGTCATCTTCTAACAGAAAACAGCAGCAGGTTAGTCAGCAATAACATAAAACAAGGCTGCAAATTCAACATTGAGATAGCCAATGAAACTCTGCCAACTTCAAATGGCATTGCACCTTCTTATGCCAGGCTACATTCTGATTCTTGTGAATGTAATGCTCTTGCTGAGGTGATCTGACCTCAGCTGACTTCCTGCCCTTTGGGCAGGGGGCTGGACCTGATGATCTTGCAAGGTCCAGCCCCTGCCCAAAGGGCAGAAAGTCAGCTGAGGTCAGATCACTCCAGCAAGATAATCATCCAAACACTTATTGAATATGTCCAGAGTAGGTGCTTGCACCACTTCTGGGGGGAATCTATTCCAGACCTTGGGGGCTCAGACGGTAAAGAAGTTTTTCCTTATGTCCAGCCTAGAACGGTCTTGGAGGAGTTTGTGATTGTTGGACCTTGTCATCCCCTGTGGTGCTCTGGTGAACAGTTGTTTCCACAGATCCTGATGCACGCCTCTGATGAACTTATAGGCTTCCACCAAGTCCCCCCTGAACCTACACTTTTCCAGGGTGAAGAGTCCCATGCCTCTCAGCCTTTCCTCATAATGCCTGCTCTCTTGATCTCTGATCATGCACATGGCTCTCCTATGGACTCTCTCAGGCTTCTCCACATCCTTTTTAAAATGCAGAGCCCAGAATTAGATGCAGTACTCCAGCTGTCGCCTCATCAAAGCCGAGTAAAGTGGGAGGATGACTTCTTGGGTCTTTGCTTGAGATGCATAGGTAGATGCAAGCCAGGATTGCATTGGTGGCTCATTTCACCTTGTGGTCAACCATGACTCCCAAGTCTCTTTCAGTCATAGTGCTAGTGAGTGTAGCTGCCAAGCCTATAGGTATGATGTGTTTTTTTTTCTCCAGAGGTGAAGCACCTTGCATTTCTCTATGTTGACTGTCATCAAGTTTTGATCTGCCCACCTTGCAAGCCTCTCCAGGTCAGCCTGAATCCCTAGCCCTTCCTCAAGACTGACTGCACTTCCCCATAATTTGGTGTCATCTGCAAGCTTAGCCAGTCCACTTCTGACACCCGAATCCAGATCATTTATGAATATATTAAAGAGTACTGATCCCAGAACCAAACCCTGGGGGATGCCACTGGTCACTATGTGCCATGTTGACTCAGTTCCATTGACAATCACTCTCTGAGTCTGACCACGGAGCCAGTTCCCCAGCCATCACACCGTAAGGCTGTTGAGGCTGCAGCTCCCCAATTTTACCATGAGAACATCATGAGAGACCAAGTCAAAGGCTTTTTTGAAATCCAAGTAAATGACATCAGCCTCTCTTCCCATGTCCAGGTGATGCATCTCCTGGCCATAGATGGAAATGAGTTTGGTCAGGCATGGCCTACTCGTAACGAAGGCAGGTTGGCTATCTCGAGAATGTTGCCTTCCATTAGCCTACTGTTGATGGATTCTTTAATAATTTTTTCCAAGATCTTTCCAGGGATTGAGGTCAAACTGATTGGCCTGTAGTTCCCTGGGTCCTCCTTCCTTCCCTTTTTAAAGATTGGAAGATGGCTAACATGTTGCCTATCTCCAGGAACCTCTCCCAACAGCCACGAGTTCTCAAATATCCTCATCATTGGTTGTGCTATGATGTCAGCCAACTCTTTTAGCACTCTTGGGTGCATTCTGTCTGAGCCCGCTGACTTGTGGATGTCCAGCCACTCAAGGTGTTCCCTCACAAGGTCTTCACCAGTTGTAGGCATATGGTCGCTCTTACCCTGGTAATCCTGTGTCCTGTCAGGCAGGGTGATCCCCTTGGGCTGGCTGAAAACAGACACAAAGTAATCATTGGGAAGATTACCTTTTTCTGGGTGTCAGTTGTCAGCTGACCCATTTGGTTCACCAGGGATCCAATGTTGCCCTTATTTTTCTTTCAGCTTCCCATGTATCTATTTTTATTGTCCTTGATTCCCGTAGCCAGTCTGAGCTTGGTTTCAGCCTTGGCTTTTCTGGTCTGCTCTCTACAGGTGTGGGCCAGTGATACATAATCCTCCTTAGAGGTATTTCCCGTCTTCCAACCCTTATAAGCTGCTCTTTTAAGATAAAGGAGGTCCATGAATTCCCTATTGAACCAAGGGGGTCTTCCCAGACCTTTCACTACCTTTCCTATGGGCTGGAATGGACTTTCCTTGTGTTTTTAGGATCGCATTCTTAAGATGATTATACTGTGCACATTCAAACAATATTATGGGATTATTAAAAGGAGAGGCAGCAGCAAATACCCTATTTCAGGTAAATATCTCTATAAAATGTCACTTTGGGCCTGGATGTTTTATTCCTGATATATGTTGGTTAAGCACTCATTGTAAAGTTAGCTACCATACCATGCTGAGCACTGAGAGAGATTTGAATGTACCAGGCATTAAATTTAGCTCCAAATGCAGTGCAGCCATGCTGGCACCAGGCCCAACTCTCAATACACTCTATACATGCTGTTTTGGGGGATCATTTCAACAACCACTCTGATTTCTCTGGCAATTGAGCAAAATCTTCAAATATCAGAACTGACATAACCAAAGACAAATTCTTGTGACACCTGCTCCTCTGGACAGGGACACTTTTCTGTGCAGAAGAGTGAAATAAGTCCAATCATAATACTGCCTCCAAAAAAAAAAAAAGACAGGTCTATAACCTGAATTACAATGCTGAGAGACAGAACTTGTTCAAACTATGCTCCATAAGCCAAGTTCTTTAAAAAATCATGTAGGACAGTAGCTACTTTGGCATGTAGGCAACATGTTGCCTCCAAGAGTTACAAATTTTATTTGGAGCCACTAGACACTGAAAGTTAAAAGTAAGGTTGACAAAGAGCACCAAGTATGATGTTGCCCACAGTATGTTACTGGGTCAGTACCACTGCCCCATGCCAGAAAAGGCTAGGAACCATATATGTTGGATCTGTACCATCAAACCACACATATCCCTCTAACAATAAACCACAAGTCTAAAATCCAAGAACACCACACTACAATAAGCCAAAACTACCCCGTCCCCTAAAACAAAACTTATATTAGCCCCAAGCCTCCTCAGTGGTCCCTATATTGAGCCATATTGCATTGTTTCTAGACAGCTAAAAAAAATGTTATTTGCATCATGACTTTGCATAAGATTCCCTATTCAGGGCAGTGGGTCTCTAGAGATTGCCAAGATCTGGCTGCATGAGTTCTCTGCCTACGGGTTATAGACACTCACATATAATCAGGCCAGATGCTTCTCTCTCTGTTTATTTCAACACATTTCAGAGGAAAAAAACCCAAAACTTAGGCAATACAGTCAGTAAGTCAATCACATTCTTCCTCAAACACAAGAACGCAGTTAAAACATAATAGGCTTGGAGTGGTCTGAAACCACTAGTCTAGTAATTAAAACATAAACCCATCCCTCCAAACACTAAGAGCAAGACAGAGCTCAATACCTCAGCAGCTGTGAAATTGTACAATAGAGCTACCGCTCATGTCACGCCAAATAGAGAGCCCATCAGAAAACCTTTCTTGCCTCCCGACTGTCTTTTGACAACTTGGAAAAGGGAATTAGTCACACAGCAATGGCTGGTCATATCCCATTACAGAATTCTAGGTCCAGCCTCCATGTTGTAAAGCAAGAACTAAGGTAGGAAGCAAGGGTAAGGTAAACGTTAATTGGGTTGGAACAGTCATTGACTTCTCCCCAGGGACAACAGGTGGGAGTGGCATTTTGCATCCTTTGTTTTCTGGGGCCTGCCTGGCCACAGTGTAAGTTAGAGTAACATCAAGGCCACGGGAAGCAGAGAACAACCAGAGTACATGGTGCTCTCACCCTGTCCTCTTTAGGGTTGCCATGCAAACACTCTTTATACTAGGTGCTAAGAGAGGTACTGGCAGATTATCTTCATAATTAGCTTTATGCCAACTAATGAGCCCCACCACACCAGAACTATTCCAAGGCATAGTGCTATATGCAGTCCCTGCTCTTTTTTTTCCCAGTCATTTCTTCTATCTAGAGATAACTAGTGCTGCTACACTCCCACCTCTTATCTGAAGAGAAGTCAATGACTGTTCCAGCCCAAATTAATAAAAGAAATAGTCCATCTTTTCCATGACTGCCATACAGAATGTCCTGGTATTTCTTTTGAATTGAGCAGACATGATTTTCTTGTTGGTTCAGTGCAACAGAGAGAGGTGGAAAATAAACCTATTGTCAAGGAACTCCAGGAAATCCAGCACCTGATCTTCAGTTACGCTACACTTCTTTGATATTTTTTTTTAATCCCTGACACAAAGTAACGTTGTCAGTATTCTGCAGATCCATTCCTCTTGCAACAGTCAGAACAAACATGTCTTCCACTATTTCCAGCAAATCAGCAGTAACATTTTAGCCACTGTTATGTTTATGAACTGTATCTTGACCCTGTAAATCACAGAGGATGAACCATTTCTCATGCTTGTCCACTTCTGAAAGTGTCCAACAATTATTTTGTAAGGAGACCATTTTTGTGCAGGTCTGAGCTTAATGAAATCCCTCTTCCCAAATATTTAAACTACTTCCTTCTTATAGTCACTTGTCTGCTAAAGGTTTCTTCTTTGTTAAATATAAAGAAGGCTTCAAAAGTTTAGTGTTAATTTAATTACTTTTTTAATTCTTATCTATTTTTGAAACATTAGGAACGTCAACACTGATATTCTCTAGTTTTGCCAAAAGACTTCTTGGGTGTCTCTGCAAATATATGTTGTATACACTCATGGGGTAGCAGCTCCAAATTTTAGAGAGTTGTTTTCAATCCAAACCATCTATTAGAAATAAAACAGTTGCCAAATCTAAACAAACAAGAAACAAATAATATTAAGTAGTTCAATTAAGGCCAGGTTCACACTGCAAAAAATTACAGTACAACTTCGTCCACCAGGAGCAAGGGCAGGGATGGGGAATACATTTCATTCTTAACTAAGAATTCTTTTGAGCGATATTTGTATTGCACCAACTCTACAGCTGGGAGAGAAATGGACACGTTTTTTGGATATCATTGTATCCTTTCCCTTCAGGTAGAGTGGTACCTGAAAAATGTGTCTATATTCCTCTTTACTATACCATTGTTACAACAAAAGATATCACACACAAAAAAATCTCGTCTCTTACATTTTTCTTGGGCCATCATGGCTACATCACCTCAACAGTACCTTATTCCTACCCAACACACCAATGCTGGACAAAAGCACTATGGTAGAAGCAGCATGGCTTTTGCATGAAGAACAGGTTTAAACTATACCAGCCAAACATGATCACTATTTCATGCTGTTCCCATCAGACAAGGACAGCTCTACCATTACAACTATAGGCAAATGCTTTTACAGCCCAAATTTCCATCACATCCCCCTTGTTCAACTTTCACATGCTTGATTCCAGAGGTGTCCAGCACCAGAATGCAAGACAAAAACCAGTTTTAGTCTAAAACAACAAACATTTTTTTTTTTTACATCAACTTTATTACAAAGCAGAAGACAACACAAACTTAATTTTATTCCCACTTGTGCAGGTCACCTTCAATTCATTTTCATTTGCTTACTGTAGCTGTCTTGGTTTCATTCAGAGAGACTGATTAAAAGAAAATTCTTTTGCAATTATTTAATGAAAGGATGGAGTGTGGTTGTATCTCATTCCATCATGCTGTTTTGTGATCTGAAAGTAATCCCAGAGACAAGAAACTAGAAATAAATCAATTTGTTAATATTAGTTTTAGTGTAAATAGCTGCGTTTAACAGATTTCTGTTTTATTCAGGAAAGAAGAAACAGAGACAATTTAAATTAAGATTAAGATTCTTCCACAGAGGGAAGAAAGCATCAGAGATGCACATTGCTGTATATTCTGCTCTCTCTCGGTGGGGGTATCTGAGGCTAGTGTTAGACCTGCTCGATTCCCAAAGGCGGTCTTTTCTGCCAGGCTCTGAAATAGCTTTCTGCTGATGCTGCTGCAGAGGCTCCCTCAGCTGATGCCTCACTGAGCATCTTGGAGCCTGAATGGCTGAGAGCAAGGAAAATCCCAGGTCCGTAGAGAGAGGCTGAAAAACAAAGACAGCTGCTCAGGCAAGCTGAGGGAGGAGAGGTGTTTACAACTACATTCCTTACTATGGTTATAGCTTACTGAGCTCTCCTACCCTCCCCTGCAAAGCTTCATCTGAGTTATCTTTACAAGCA